ACGAACTGGACGACATTATCTCCAACATGCTTTTTAGCGCCAGTTTGTCTTTGATTCTAAAATCCAGGTAAGGCCAGGGTTGGAAGATAACAAGAACCCTAATTTAGAAGTCAAAGTTCCTTCTGGAATCTCAGAAACAGTTTGCCTTTTATTAGAAATTCCCGAGCTCCAGCCGCCTGCGCTGGAGGCTCTGCCTCCGATCAGCGGGACGGCTTTTTACGCTTACATTAAGCTCCCTGTACATAGTCACAAAAACACATCATTTCCATTTCCCGTGTCATGAGTTGCAAGTCCTGGGAGCCTTTTGAGGCCTTAATCAAAGACCGAGATACCAGAGAAGAGGCCATATGTTTAAAGTGTCAAGAGAAAGCACTCAGGCCTCCGATAAATGATTTGCTCCTCACTGGCTGATTTACTGTTCATTTCTGCAGAACCTCCGGCAGCTTGAAAGGGCGCCAACTGTTAACCACAAGGGCTCTGAGGTTGCAGCTGCACGGTGCCTCCTAAGCAGGACTTGCCGTTTCCTATAGGCCTGGGGTGAGGGAGACAGTAGGGACTGGGGAGGCAGATAGGCTGGTGTCAAATCCCTCAGTCTTAGAGGCTCTGTGGATTGGGCAAGTTGTAGAGCCCTCTGAATACCCCATTTCCTATTCTGTAAATTTGAGGCGGTAAGAGCGATAGCGACCCACGGGTATATTTCGTTTGGGTTTAAAATGGTGAACAGGAAGGCAGTAAGTACGCTGAAGCTCAGAGTCTCAAGTCACATGGACCGTGGTCTCCTGGTATCAGAACTCAGAGCTGCGGAGCCACACACAAACATAGAAAAAAAAAGTCAGCTGTTGTTTGTCAATCCAGAATCTTCTCCCCTCCTTTTCTTCACCGAGATCTAATTTTGCCACAGGAGTTTTATCATAAGCATATCCACCATGCGTCTTGCACAGAAGATGGTTACATTCTTAACAGGTTACAAAGGTAAGTAACCGATGAGATGCTGCCATTTAGCACAGTCCTAGTTGTCCTTGATCAGAGGCTTTTAATGTTTAAGAAATGGGCCTTGGCTCTTTCTGATCAATGAGACATGAAGGATAGCCTCCTGAGAGCTTCTGGAAATAAGCATCCCCTCCTTTCTCGGGAGAGAATTTAAAACTTTGACTCTTTCCTCTCTCTGAGGAAATGAATCAAGAAGGCCGAAGTCCCAGGATTGTTCATGGCAATTTCGTGAAACGCAGTAGCAAGGGTAGAATGTAGACAGTAGATGACAGAATAGAACAGACCATGGGAATGCAGATGAAGTCTTTGAGTTATTGCATCGAATTAGCCTGAAAATCACCCTACATTTTGGACTTCCTGTTACGTACTGATCCAATAAATTCCATTTGCATTTCTTCTTCCCCATATAGTCCTATACTTAGTGTAAACAGTAAAAACAACTAACATAGATAGATTGCATTTTTAAAAGTCTGACGGTTCAACATCATACTTGTTTAAGAGTAGTTAATGCTATTGACCACTTACCCTGGCTACGTAATCCTGAGCCATTAGCTGTATGGATAGGATCCAGCACAAAGCTAAAACAATCAGAGTCCCTTCAAAAATTATTAAGTCGTCAGAAGCGAGCACCCAATTAAAGCATAGGCCTCCATGAGGCATGGATCCCGCACAAGACAAGACTCATGCCCATGAAGCTAACACCTGGGCCCTAAAAGGACTTCCCTAACCTCTCTACACTCATTAATTGGCCAGCTTTATAATACGTATCTGCATTCGCATGACTTGTTGAGCCTTCTCAAACCCATTAATTGACATATTAGTAAGGTTATGTAGGACAACCATGACTTATATGTACATGATGATATGTGACTATGTCCTTTAGAGATTTACATATTCCTTTTTATTAGAGAATGCATTTGAAATTGTTCCAATGTGTTTCTGAGCAATAATATAGTGTATTTTCTTCTGCTTGGATAGAAATGTTTCTTTTTACATGGATATTTAAATGCGTAAATGTACAGTAAAAGAGAATGGCAATCATCTCTCATTAAATGTATCTATAGCAATAGATAAATGAATCATATATGAAACATGCAATAGTTTTAATTTGTTTCTACCGTCAGTACTCCATCCACCCATTAAAAATTAGTGATCTTAACTATTTTAAGCTTATATAATTTCTTGGAGAAAGTGAAAGACCTAATAATTTTTCAAGAAAACCGTGGCTATGCCTGTCTGTTGTCCAACTTTTCTAATACATTTTACTTTCGATTGGAAGCCAACATTCATAGAACGTCCTAGTTGTGACTACAGAACACAGTTAGACGGTCTCCAGTTATCTGAAGTAATCATCCTTAAACAGAAAGTTAATATTCACTGTCTGAGTTGGAATCCTTCCCATTGGTTGCAATTACTATATAGGCATAAATCCAATTTAGTTTAGCATTGTGTTAATGAATAAATCCACTTTATTCGCTCATCTTG